ATATATATATATATATATATGTGCATATGGGTATATGTACATAGATATGTTTGTTTGGTTGCTGGATGTTTGTTTTCTTCATTCTCTGATGGTCAGACATCGGGTGTGTTGTCTTGTGTGTTATTGGTGTATATTTCACATGTCATTGAATTTCTATCAGTTTCTTTATAGTTCTTACATTTCTCTTCTTTTTCTTTTTCTTCTTTACTATAGTATAAAAAAGTCATTGATGATGAAGAAATTAAGAAACTAACATTCAGTTCTGTTTTCTACTGAAGTGGCTAAAAAATAATTGAAAAAATCCATTTTTATATTAAATTCATAAAAACACATTTTTTTAATTGTGGGCCTGACGGAAGTCACTCACGAGCTAGATGTGGCCCACCGACCACCAGTTGAATAGCCTTGACTGACATTGTGTTGTTGAGGACTCTCAGTTACCACTCCACCAAATTTAAGGTATATCTGGATGAATTAAAGCCACATGTGTTCAAAATTCTCTTAGCTGCGGCGGCCACCTTAAATGACTCCAAAAGTTAAAAGAGTTGTATTACTAATGATCACAGAGAAAAACAAAACAAATTTTATATACCTGGAGCAGTTGGCAACTTCAACACTGATCCCGTAGCACAACTGGCCCCCACACTGAGGGGCGGGGTTATCGCAGGCTCGGGTCCGACACAGACAGGAACTGGCGCTGTCTCCATCGTTGTGACTACAGGTGGACCAGCCGGACCAGGCCCCAAAACCTCCATCCACTGTGACATTTCGAACCTGGGGGAAAAAAAAACTTTAAGTAATGACTTTTCAAAAAAAAAAAAAAAAAAAAAAAAAAACTGGTCACGGCATCAGCAATGCTCTCAGGAACTTGTTGCTCTGGGAGACGCAGCCCACAAGTACAGATGGATGGAAACAGAAAAATCCATTTCTCTCAAATAGATACAAAAATAACCACATTATATCTCTCACCGTGTGTCAGAAATTGGGCAGTTATGTGCTATAAACTCGAGGAAGTTGCAGGAAAAAAATGCTGCTGGATATAATGAAATTCCAGAATGAGAAAAAATAAAAAAGATTCAGAATTGACACATTTAGAGGACAGAAATAGGAGGAAATTAGAGTAAATGAATAAACGAAGCAAAACAAAATCAAACAGGAACGCTTCAACGTAAGAATACGAGGCCAAAACACTGACAAGAGATTCGGGGGGCTGCAGGAGATGGTGCTGCGTTTCATGTTGATTTAAAAATGCAAAACAAAACAAAGAAAAAAAAAACGTTCACACAAGGAGGCAAGAGAGCGATCATCATCTGCTTTGGCAGAGGCAAAATACCGTCTGGCCTGCGCTCTTATTGGTAATTGAACTCTGCCATAAGCCTAAATGAGAAACGCTTAGACGAGACAGATGACATCTGCAACAATGGGCCAGGGAGGCAAACCACTACACAGATGATGAATAAAAAGCATCATTCATACTGAAAACATGAATGGTTTCTTGGTTTTTATCTAATGAATTATTCACTGAACCAATGGATAGAATGTGGCTTTTAATAATTAGTTAATGCTGTAGGTCTTCACTATTAAATTAAAATAAAACAGAAATAATCAAAATGTATATTTTTCACAATAAATTGTAAAACTAAAAAAAAGTGTGACCATCTGTATAAAATACGGGTCTGGCATTCCTTAAAGGAAAGCATTTTTTAATTTAAACTAGTGGGTTATTTTTTTTTTTTTTGGGAGAACAGAATTGGAACTGGCTTGTTTTCAAAAAAAATTTTTTTTTAAATATTAAAAATGTTTCTATTTTCTACTTCCAATACACCCAGGTGAAATTTCACAGAACTGTGACAAACATTTACTTTCTGTAGCAGAGTGAAACAAGCTTTTTTCCCTTGTTTAAACACCAACTGGGAAGGCAGATGGTGTTGTTGAACAGGTTGGTAAAGTGTCTCTCCTGGTTCTGCCTACACAAGAACATTCAGTGAGCAGAACCTTGACTCTTAAACTACAGATTACCACTCAGCCAGTTCAGCCTCTGCAAAGTGTTAATGGACCCATAGGAAGTGAAACTCTAACTGTGATAAAAGGCTTTTTTTAAAATACATTTTCAACATCTTGTCATAGAATGTCTCTTCCTAGGTCCGGCTTTAATTCCTGCTTTTGATTATTTCTCAGCATGTGTTTTTTTAATGTTGAACCACGGTGGAACAGGGAGGTTCTGCTGATTGTCTGAGGATCCATTCCATTTTGAAAGTTTAATGCTAAAACTCTGATTTTATTATTTGCTCTTTAAATACAAGAGATAAAAGGTGAACATATGAACAGTTTTTGTAACAAAGCATAAAACACAATCTGGTCTAAGTTAAATCTTAACATTGCTTTATATAGTATATACAAACCCAGATAAACAACAAAAATCCTCAGCTCATTATGACTAAGTATCTCCACTTCAGTCTTGTCTGTTCAGTGAACTGCAGGATTCTTACAGCTCGGGTTAGACCTGAGCTGCTGTGTTTGTCTAAAAGGAAAAATTATTTCTTGGTAAAACTTATGAATTAGTCATATTTATTCAGTGTTTTTTTTTCCAATTTAAATGTTAAACTATATCCTTTAGCACACTAAGTCAAGTCAGTGGAGTCAGAGATGTTGCTTTTGGGTACTTTTTGCAATTTCTCTCGATATTGGGGTGAAATTTCTGGGTCAACTGATGCGGGAAAGATTGGCTACCATCTAGAATGTTTCCCACAGTTGAAGGAAATATCTCTGTAAAATGATACACGTTAAATTGTTTGGAAATGTCCTTCATACCCTTCTAAGATTGATGGGCATCAGCGTTCACTTTTCAAAGAACATTGCGGATGTCTTTCTTACTTTGTGCTGCATTAACACACGCTACGATGCTTCAGACAAGCAAACTGTCAGCCTTTTTTTTTTTTTTTTTTTTACAAATGATTACACTTACAGATGATCCATTACATAGGTGCAGATGATACGTAGTCTTGGATCATATCTTGTAATAATGTTTTAGTTCATTTAGAAAAATAACACAATTTTTGTCACTTTTTGTTATTCAGGTGCTGGTAGCATACCAAAAAGTGGCAATAACAGAATATAAAATAATATGTGTGTGCTAGTTGTAGATTAAAAACAAAGTAAACTATTGACCTAAATTTCCTTATGTATGTACAGTATGTATGCATGCATGTATGTATGTATGTATGTATGTATGTATGTATGTATGTATGTATGTATG